ATCGGAGATTCAAAGCAGATGCTCGAAGAATTAGTGCAGGCCTCATTAAAAGTCGGTCTCCGGATAAATACGAGTAAAACGCAAATAATGACAAACTTAGTGCTGACACAGAATATCAGAATATGTGACGCTGACATAAAAGAAACACATATATACAAATATCTCGGGCACGAAATACAAATCGGAAAGAACAACCAAACACACGAGATACAGCGCAGAATAGGTTTGGGTTGGGCTGCTTTTGGCAAACTGCGGGAGACCTTTAAAAGTGATATAGCCATATGCTTGAAGAGGAAAGTTTATGAACAATGCGTCTTGCCGGTAATTACATATGGAGCGGAAACTCTAACATTAACGAAAAGTCAGCAGAAAATTTAAGAGTAGTCCAGAGAGCCATGGAGAGAGCCATGCTTGGAATAACTAAAAGAGACAAAATTTCTAATAACACTATCAGACAAAAAACCAAAATTAAAGACATAGTGGAACACGTAACTCGAATGAAATGGAGATGGGCAGGTCATGTGGCGAGAACATCTAAAGACAGGTGGACTAGAAGATTGTTAGTATGGCGACCTCGAGCAGATAAACGTTGCAGAGGCAGACAACCGACACGCTGGACCGATGATGTAAAGAGGATTCCTGGAAATTAATGATGACGGCCCAAAATCGAGAGACATGGAGAAATATGGAGGAGGCCTACGTTCAGCAGTGGACAACGATGGCTACATGATGATGATGATGATGATGACCTATAAAAGGTAGAGGGAATTATGGCATCTAAGAAAAAAAAAGAGTGTTATAATAAACATCTAAAAATTATTTACTTTATCGTTTAAATGTATCAATCTGTAAATTTGCTCGAATTTTAGGAAAACATGTCGCAGACAACAATATTTGTGCTTTTTTGCGTAGAGATGTTAATTATGACAATTTGTAATTTCTATTCTGTGGCATGTAAATTACACAGAAACAATAGATACATCGAATTTGTAATGCTGCCTGTTGCGGAATGAACCGAATAAATAATGATAGGCATTAATTACGGACAGTGGCGTACATATAGGATTTAAGCTCGTACAAATAACATAAACAGACAAACCTATTGATGTAGCAAATGAAGACAAATAACCAAGATATATAAACCGGATGTATACTGTGATTAAAGATGAGCAAATGCACGACACCCTTGGTCTTGGTCTTAGTTTTGATCACAGGAATTTTCTGTTTAAAAAATCTTTAACCATTTTACCATAGAAAGGCCATTTTTAGGACAGAAAAAATTCAACCATATTTTCATTTTTTTTTAATTTTCTCTAAAACGGTACGCTTGTTCTAAAACTATTTTAGAAGAAGCAAAATTTTTTATGAAGAATGCGTGTTGCTCTCAATATGTCAATAATAAAAAAATTTTCCTGTTGTAAAAACAATCCGGGGACATACTGTATAACTCTTTAAAGAAAGAAATTATTTGAATATATGTCTGACAATATTTTTAATTTTTCAATTTTTTATATTGAATGAGAATTTTTTCCTTTATAATTTATAGGTACGTAATAATTAATAATGGTTGTGTATTCAGAAAAAAAACTGTATTTCGGAAACTTCGGCATCATATTCTGCAGATAAAAATAAGTAAAAAAGTTCGTATTAATGTATGTCCTCAAAGGCTTAATTTCGGAGATACAGGGTGTAGAAGTTTCATTATTATAAAAATATGTAGGTGGCGCCCTCTGCAAGGAGGAGTCATATTAACTTCTAAATCAAATTTCTCATGTCAAAAAACTCCCAGGCAAAAATTTTCATCCATATATTGACGTTACTTCAAGAATTATTTAGAAAAAATCGAAATAAAAATGAAACTTCAACACCGCATCTTCGAAATTAAGCATTTTAGGACACAATTTATACGAACTTTTTCGTACTTTATTACGTACCTATTTAAAGAAAGAAATTTAAAGAGTTATACAGTATGTTTCCGGATTTTCTTTACAAGTGGAAAAACTTTTTTATTATTGACATTTTAAGAAAAATGCATTCTTCATAAAAAATTTTGCTTGTTCTAAAACGATTAATCCCGTTTATACTCTTCCAAATTTTTTCCATACCGTTTTAGAGAAAATTAAAAAAAATATGAAAATATGTTTGAATTTTTGTTGAGTACTAAAAATAAAAAGGCGTATGGTAATATCATTTTTATTTTATTCTTTGATAGACGGTTATTAATTCTTATTTGATCAATGAATGAAAAGTAGATAGGTGATAATACGAAAAGATATAAAAATACTGAAATCAAGATTCTATTCACTCTAATATCCCCAGTCTTAATCCCATCATCCTTTTCTTAATGAAATCTCCAGACTCTAACCACGAAATAGTCCAGAAAAAGATCGAAAAACTAATAAAAACGAAAGTTTCGAATTCAATAAAGTACTCCCCACGCACGCACATACATGCCCATCACATTCCTCTCGGCTCGCAAGGCAAGCAGGACCAGGACCAGTTGCTTAAACTCGCTGGATTAGTTCCAGAACACTTGGGGGGCCGCTTTTAAGCCACTTCCGGTCACGTCTGTCCCTCTTGGCCGGTGCCCCGGTGCGTCCCCCCTTGGTTGGGGGATATTTGGGGGGACGTAGGGGGACCCCGCAGCGACGCGTGGCGCTAGCACCTTTCCTACCGAAAATCCGACCGCGTAATTGATTGCTAGGTGGGGGGGAAGGACGGCGCGACGCTGGTTTGCGCCAGCGGTGGCAGGCAGTGGGAGGAAACCAGAAAAAATCGGGACAAAAAAAATATTTCGGTAAAATAAATGTTTCGAGGGGTAAAAAATGTACTGCAAAAATATAATTTTACTGCCAAGGACTACGAAGAGAACTGCCTATGACTGCTATGCAATGTAGTTTATATCGAAATGAAAATTTTGCCAGCATATGTAGGTTAACTGAAAGCATTTTATAAAAATATATATAATTATACAGGGTGTCCCCAAAAAAAGTTACACATCAAAGTTGTGTTTTTTCTAATGGAACACTCTATATATTAATTGATTTTCGGATTCTAGGAAAAAACTAAAGGTGAGTTTTATTAAAGAAGCATATACCTAAAATCTAAGGATTTTGACAGATTTCACATTTTATGAAAATGAAGATTAAATTTTAAATTTCGATGACAGCTACCTAAATTTTAGTTGACCTTGTATAGCCTGCTACTTAATTACAGTAACTATTGTATGTTAAACCAAATTGAAATTTGACCCGAAAAGTTACACAGGGTGAGACAAAATTAATGTGGAATATTAGTCATTTTTAAAAGCAAGTTACTCCTTTATTTTAAATGGAACACCCTGTATATTTTTCGGGTGTTCAATGGGGAATTTATATATCTTCAAAATATTATTAAGGTTGCCTACATCTCAGACAAAGATTTTTATAGATATTTTTATTTTTTGAAAAATTATGTTAATTAATTATTATTAAATTTATTTTTTTTTTGATTTTGCGTCAGTAGATCGTTATTATTTGATATAATCTAGGTGGCTGTGTGATACACCTTTTGTTAATTTAACAAAAATTAAAGATTGTAGAGTAAAATACTCAAGGGTAATAAAAAGATACACGTTTAAAACATATTTTAATTATTACAACATTAAAACTAGATATAAACCTATAACTAAGCGACAAAAATTAGCTAGATGAAATCAAATGCTCAAAATGCTTCCTTTCCTGTTAACTGCATAAAATAATTGTCTTTTCAAAAGGATCTTTTCATTTTAAAAGGCATATGTGGAGTTCTACCTCGAAAAGCAACTACAATAATTTCTCTCATGTTGTCGACAGTAGTTCGTCGAGTTTTGTAAACACTGTCTTTAATATATCCCCCTAAAAAAAGACTAGATAAAATCAGGAGTATTCTATTAATAGCATAAGTATATAAAGTATTCTATTAATTGGTGAATGCACACTGCATTCACCAACTAATACAATCATATCAATTCTCTCTGATGTAGGATAAGTTTGCATTTTCGGTAAATTTCTGAGAAAATTTTTTGTTTTAACTGACACAAAATGATAACTAGTTGTTAAAGTTGAACTAATTAGACAGCTATGTTGAAGTAACGTCAGACATATTACAGTCACCTATATTTTATCAGATAATAAAGATCTACTCAGATCAAATCATGTAAATAAAAATATCTAGGAAAATTTTTGTTTAATGGGTAGGCAACCTTAATAGTATTTTGAAGACACATGAATTCCCCATTGAATATCGGAATAATATACTGGGTGTTCCATTTAAAATAAAAGAGTAACTTGCTTTGAAAAGTGGCCAATGTTCAATATTAATTTTGTCTCACCCTGTGTAACATTTTGGATCAAATTTTAATTTGATTTAAAGTACAATAACTAATTTAACTACATATTAGGCTATACAGGATAAATTCCAATTTAGGTAGCTTTTATTGTAATTTAAAAATTGTTCTTTATTTTTAGAAAATGTCAAATATGTCAAAAATCTTACATTTTAGTAATTTACTTTTCTTATAAAACTTAACTTTATTTTTCTTCCAGAATCCGAAAATGAATTAATACATTCCATTACAAAAAACACAACTTTGATATGTAACTTTTTTTGGGAACATCCTGTAGAACTCTCTAAATTTTTAAAAATGTGCTCTGAATTAACCTACATATACTCACATTACTTCGTTTCAATACAAACTGTCGTACTCCTTGGAGCCTCCGCGTCGTGTAAGAAGCGCCACCCTGTATATTTAAAACGCCTGTAAAGTGTATCCTGTATCTGTATTTTGGAACGCTGTATGTTAGGGGTCTAACACTTTCTATTTCTTTTAACTGATCTGCAAAGCAAATTAAAAAAAATATATTTCGTCCTATTCTTTCGCGACGCCACGCCACTGTGCGGCGACGCCGCCGTCGCCGTCCGCCGCCCCCACGACGCATGCCCGACCCGCGTCGCCGCCGCCGATAACGCTCGCTAGTCTGTCGCGAACCGCCGCACCAAGAGCATGGACCACCTCGTCGCATCTCACAACCAACCCAATCGCAAAAACAACGACTTTCCTCGATCGCTCACCTCATTCTAAACCCAAAAAAACTAATTTTTCCTCTAAAACAACCCTCAAAATCAACTTCCCAACCCAAAAAAAACTATTTTTCCTTCAAAAACACACTTTCCTGGCCAAAAAAATCGAGAAATCGCGGAAAACCGCCGGTATGAGAGACGACACTGGTGTTTCTCCTGAAGACGGGGGCTTATTGAGATGAAACCTTCCGACCTAGAACACTCCCGACCCTTAGAAGGGTGGAACAGTAGTTGGTGATAGTGACGGAAAGGGAATAAACAATGCTAGAAAGGGGTAGCAGTCTGTTTTGACCGCCGTTCAAGTTCGTGAATTAGATTTATTGATTCGTTTTGCGAAGCCCCTTTTAAAGAAGAAAAATAAAGATATTCTAAAGGAAAAACTTGTTACTGTAAGTGTATTTGTATATTATCAGGTCTTTGAATGATTATAGATTAAAATTCTGTCCAAAAACATGTCATTTAATGACGAAAACACTTGTTTTGAATGTTGTACTTAATTAATGATCATAGAATGAATTATCAAATAGAATTACGACTAAAGGCTTGTTCGATATAACAATAAGTAACTGAAATAAAGTATACTAATGATTTTTTGGTGTTTCTTGAGAATTTAATAAAAAAAATTAGAACTTAATGTTTCAGTTTCAAGTTTATTTGTATATTATAAAACTTCTTTAAGGTGATACATTAAGATATTTTGGTTTAAACAGGACATTTAATGATTATATGGTTTGTTTTGAGGTTTCTTACTGTGCTCTGAAGAGATGCAGTTAAATGTAGGTTACTAAAGCATGACACATATGTGTTGGTATGGAAGAGTTTTCTTCTTTTGGGTACAAAACATGAGAAATTTTACTGGAAATGTACCATTTAATGGAAACAATTTGAGATTTAGTAATTTGTTTTAAAGAAAGTTTATTAAATGTTTGTTTAAACAATGCCGTCTCTAATAGAACAGCCTTGGGGCGAGATTTATGACGTCACGCTAGTTAGATACTACGGATTAATAAATATGTTGTAGAATACATGGAAAACATAATTATTCCTCAGATTTTTGGTTTGTATTTTAAAAATTATATAGTTCACATGAAATATACATAATATACAGTTAATAACTACAACATATATACCTATTTATAGTAATAACTACTTTGGCAAATAAACTATGAACCATACAAATGCAGCAAATGTTTTACAATATACAAATAATGTATTACGTAAGATATTGGGTAAAATGTAAATATATTTTAAATTTTGGGGTTTGACAATCGATTTAATTTAACAAAAAACATTCAATATCTACTAATAGTGATGTATTATTATTTGCATTCACAAAATTTATATGTATATTTTGCAAGTATCAATGTTCGAAAAATTATATTTACAAATAATACAATATCATCTAAAAAAAGGCGTCAGCGATGGCTATGAAATGAAGATCGCTGGCATTTTATATGTAAAATTATTCTAAAATCTTTTGATTTTCTTGGGATGATTTAGGTTCGGGAAAAAACTGATTTAAGTTTTCATTTGATTTTCATTATTTTTATTTGGTTTAAAAAACGTTTTGGCTAACTATAGCCTTCATCAGTGTTGTCATATATGAATAGTGTCGAATATAATCAAAAATTACATATGAAATATTCACACCACATAATATTTACTGCAATTAATAAACTAATATAAACTTATCAAAAGATGACCACATATTTTTTAGAATTATTATTCTTAACAGTAAAACTATCTACATTGACTATGGAGACTATGGAGTACGCAGTAAACATTATGTGGTGCGTGGTGTGAATATTTTATATGTAATTTTTTGGATTATATTCGACACTATTTTTTTCATATGACACAACACTGATGAAGGCTATAATGTTAGCCGAAACATTTTTTTTTAAACCAAGTAAAAATAATGACAAAACCAAATGAAAACTTAATCAGCGTTTTTCCCGAACCTAAATCCCAAGAAAATCAAAAAATTTAGGATATTTAGAAACAAGGTTCAAGAATATCAAATTTTCCAAGATTGTAAAATTCTAGTTAATTTTTTTATGTGTACAATTATTTAGGGAATGTCATCGATGTTCATTTCCAAACCAACTAGACGCCGATTTTTTTTCCATGATACGGTATAATTCTTAGATAAAATGTAAATAACATTCGACCAATTAAAACAAAGAAATATGAATTTCTTAGTATTATTAGTAACACCTTTATTCTTAAAACTTAATTTTGTATTGCAAACATACCAATTTTATTGTTATTTTATTCATATTGTATTCAGTCAACACTTAAATATTTGATATTAATTTGGTATTATAAATAATCGACACTATTCAGTAAAAATTACTGAACAAATAGGTATATGTTATGCTTTACATACATTATATTATCAAACAAAAACACATTCTTCTTATCATTCTTGTCTTTACAAAAATCTTTTTTAATTTTGAACTCAAAATAATAATCTTTTTCATGATCTTTAATACACATATTCTTTATTTTTCCCTAGATCATAATACCTACTTACGTGTTTATCTTACGTGTTTGAATCTATCGAAGCTGAACCAACAACAATGGAGTGGAGATTCCACAATATGAATAAAATAAACATAATTGTCCAGTTTTCTTTAATACCATTCTGGGAGAATATTATTTTTAAATTTATTAAAGATATTTTCAATAGAATTGTCTAGATTTATAACTCGTACCCACTTTTCTTGCTCTTCCGGATACTTTAAGCTGCCTAGTATAACTATCCTTTCCACCAGGAACACAACAAAGATGAGGCATAGCACCAAAAACACACTCCACTTGAGTCTTAAAAAACACACACAAAAATCACGATAAATAAAAAATTTATGGGCACTTTTAGGTTAAAGCACTTAACAAAACGTGTAATATTTCGTGTTTATTTTATGAGAAACAGATTGACCATCATAGTAACCATATATCTGGTAGTACTTTATGTCACTTAAACACCAAAATAATTAGTTTTTTGCACTACAATAACAAATAATACCAAAAATCAACCGACAAAATATGAATACAGAATCTAACCCAATATCTAAGTATGTACAGCTGATGAAGTAAACAAAAGTCCGCCCGTAGGCTGATCTTTTATAGAGGGCATTGGTTTAAATACTACTAAATTATCTACATTTCTTCCCTCTTCCATTTTGCTCACCCATTTCCCTCACTCGGTTTTTCTTATTTCTCGCCTCATTTAATTAAGCAAAATATTCTTGTAATATCTTTATTAAATACCTATCTAACATCAACAAAAATAAACAAGAAGATTAACAACAATAATTGAAAATTTTAATACATTTATTTGTTGAAGGTAAAAATGCTAGACTTCTTTGGCTTAAAACCTGCATTCTGGCGTTTTAAAAAGCGACGAGTTTGTGATATTTTGATATGTCAGTCTTTTCCCTTAATTCTAGCATTGTCCGTATCATGCTGTACGTAGCCCAAAGAGTAGATGGCTTTTTCTGCCTTGTCATGTCGCTAAAATATCCCATCAAGATTGTCTCCGAAGAAATATTCTTAGCATTTCTTTCGGAACTCCATTTTTCGTATACTTTCAATGCTATTTCATATCGCCCCCCCACTTTTCTCTGGAAGTAAATTCTTTTGCTCTTTTTGCAGCTTCTATAAGTTCTGGTGGAGTACCAATATTAAAGTAGTCTTCATTATCAGAACTTTCCGACAACATTCTGGCTTTCTATGTTATGTAAATTCGAAAAAGCTAACGAGAAATTCAAAACTGTCACTTTAGTTGTTTGTTTTGCTGAGGTCGGTCAAGTTTGCCCCCCGTACTAGAGGAAATTCAAAAAGAGATATACCACTATTTTGCACACATTTTGCACACCATAAATGATATTCTAAAAGAGAAACTAGAGCCGTTTTTTAAACGGGGGGCAAACTTGACCGTTCCCCCCCATTTGTTACGAAATTGATTTATTTCTATGTATATGGATTCGGCTAATTTTGCACAATTTTGCACATCTATTTTTAAATTTTGCACACCCTTCTGACGAAAGTTATAAGGGGTTGAAAATTTAAAATTTCCCCCCCATCTGTGGCTAAATTGAATTTTGTTTATATCAAACGAATCAGCTAATTTTGCACAATTTTGCACACCTGTTTTTGAATTTTGCACATTCTCCTGACTAAAGTTATGCAGGTTTGAAAATTTGCAATTCCCCCCCCCCATCTGCTACGAAATTGAATTTCGTTTATATCAAACGAATCGGCTAATTTTGCACAATTTTGCACACCTATTTTAGAATTTTGCACACCTTCCTGACGAAAGTTATGCAGGTTTGAAAATTTGCAATTTCCCCCCCATCTGCTAGGAAATTAATTTTTGTTTATATCAAACGAATCGGCTAATTTTGCACAATTTTGCACAGCTACTTTCGAATTTTGCACACTCTCCTGATAAAAGTTATAAGGGTATATTTATAAAAATATATAAAATATAAGCATGAGTCATATTTGAAAATGATAGATCTCAGCGACGTGGAAAACTGTACGGAACCCAGACTTCACCTTTTCGATAAGTTATAGGATAACCGAGATATGAGGGTTGTTGAAAAATGCAAAATTTTCAAATTTGCCAGGTATTTCAGGAAGTAAGACGGCTAGGACAAATCTGTGTGTAGAATCTTTAGTTTTATAAATGTTCTTCTATGCAAGCTATAAATTATCGAAAAGGTGAAATCTAAGTTCCATGCAGTTTTTCACGTCGCTGAGATCTATCATTTTCGAAATATGACTCATACTTATGTATTTTTAAATGGGACATTTCACACAGAATGGGACAAATTTCAAATATTCAAACTCTTATAACTTTTGTCAGGAGAGTGTGCAAAATTCGAAAATAGCTGTGCAAAATTGTGCAAAATTAGCCGATTCGTTTGATATACACAAAATTCAATTTAGTCACAGATGGGGGGGGGGAAATTTCAAATTTTCAACCTCTTATAACTTTCGTCAGAAGGGTGTGCAAAATTCAAAAACAGGTGTGCAAAATTGTGCAAAATTAGCCGAATCGATGTACATAGAAATAAATCAATTTCGTAACAAATGGGGGGGGGGAACGGTCAAGTTTGCCCCCCGTTTAAAAAACGGCCCTGGATTCTCTTAGGTAAGTGTGCAAAATATAATTTACGATGTGCAAAATTGTGCAAAATGTGTGCAAAATAGTGGTATATTTATTTTTGAATTTCCTCTAATACGGGGGGCAAACTTGACCGACCTGTTTTGCTGTTGAAGGTTTGCGCCATAACAACCACTGGTACCGGTAACTGTAGATATGAAAATGCCAAAACAGAAAACGACAAATTTTCGCATATTTATATTTTTTCAAAATAAA